TGCCGCAGTGGAACTCATAACTGCCTTTTTTTCCCAGGTGCTCTGTCCCGGGAAGGTGAGGCTTTATTTATAAATTCTTGACATGCTGCTCCCTTTTTTCAGAGATTCCCTGCCCAGCAAGGAGGTAACCTAGTCACAGTCTGCCTGCAGAGGTGTTGCTGAGCTGCTGTGGGCTCTGCCAGCTGCTGTGTGAACTTCATTGCAGTTTTTTTTATAGAGGTATACTTAGAACTGCCTCAGTAATGGCAGTCGGCCTCAGTAATGGCGGACTGTCTCTGTAATGGTGGACTGCCTCAGTAATGATGGACTGCCTTGGTAATGGTGGACTGCCTCAGTAATGGTGGACTGCGGTAGTGGTGGACTGCCTCGGTAATGGTGGATGCCCTTCCCCCCACAGGGCTGGACCATCCCAGGTCCAGCTGTGCTTGCTGTGAAATTCTCAGTCCAGAGTGTTTCAGATTGCTGGTCTTTGTGGGTGTGGGACCAGCTGTGCCAGATCACCTGGCTCCCTGTTTCAGTCCCCTTTTTTACAGTTGAATGGGCGACTCTGTCTCCAGGGTGTTCCAGGTGCCAGTTGAAATGGCACCCAGAATTATGTGAGTTTTTGTGCAGAGACCCACTGTGCTGGCTGAAACAGCCATGCTGGAGACTCATGGTGCTTTTCTGCCCAGGAATCTTCTTGTCTGTGGGCAGTAAAAATTCGTATGGAAATGCGGTGATCACTCACCCTCTGTTTTTTCACTGGGAACTGCAATTCAGAACTGTTTCTATTCATCTGTTTTAGATGGTCTCCTGTTTCTTCTTTCTATACTCTTTTCAGTGAGCAAAGTCATACTTTGATTATTTTTCTATGAGTTCAGCAAAAAATGGATTCTAACTTTTAAATTTTTAAAAATTATCTTCCAAAAATTCATCCTCATCCTTTTTTTCTTCGGTCCTGTGTTCCCACATCCTACCACTTCACATGCTCAACTTTCATGTGTTAATCCACGCCCTTGTTTACAGTTGCTCCGTGAGCTCTGAATCCACTTACATGTACTACAGAACCAACCACAATGCTTCTTTTTGTCCCCTTAGAGGTCATGAAATAATTTCTCAAAGTTTCTCCTTTTCTCATCAATACTGAAATGTCCTTTTCTTTATAAAATCTTTTGTCTTTTTAGCTTTAATAACCTTTTAAATGGTGTTGTGGGGTTTTTTTTTGTTGTTGTTCGTTTGTTTTGTTTTTGGGGGGTTTTTTTTTTTTGAGATGGAGTTTTGCTCGTTACCCAGGCTGGAGTGAAGTGGTGTGATCTCAGCTCACCACAACCTCCACCTCCCAGCTTCAAGCGATTCTACTGCCTCAGCCTCTGAGTAGCTGGGATTACAGGCATGTGCCACCACACCTGGCTGATTTTTGTATTTTTAGTAGAGACGGGGTTTCTCCATTTTGGTCAGGCTGGTCTCAACCTCCTGACCTCAGGTAATCCACCTGCCTCGGCCTCCCAAAGTGCTGGGATTACAGGTGTGAGCCACCACACCTGGCCGACTGGTGTTGAGTTTTACAGAAAGGGGAGTACTAAACACTGGGGTCTATTGGGGGGAAAAGGGGAGGACCAGTGGGAGGGGGAGGTGGGGAGGGATAGCCTGGGGAGAAACGCCAAATGTGGGTGAAGGGGTGAAAGCAAACAGAACACACTGCCATGTGTGTACCTATGCAACTGTATTGCATGCTCTGCACATGTACCCCAAAACCTAAAATGCAATAAAAAAATAAGGAAAAAAAAAATAACAGCTCAGTTGGACATGAAACAGACAAAGGGAGCCTTGTCTCAGTCTCTTTGAGATGGAGTTTTCACCATGTTGGCCAGGCTGGTCTTGAACTCCTTACCTCAGGTGATCTGCCCACCTCAGCCTCCCAAAATGTTGGGATTACAGGTGTGAGCCACCATGCCTGGCTCTTCGGTTTCTTTTAACAAAGATTTTGGGGGCAGATCTGTGCTCTGAGGATAAAGCTAACCACCCTAAAATCAAGAGTCCTTCTCTGGGGATTGTCCATCTCTCCCAGTGTCCCCCACCTTGAAGACCATGTCTCATCCCTTCTCCACGCCCTCCAGAGACTTTCACAGTCAGAAGGAAAGTCAGGCTTTTTCAAATAAACAAACGAACAAACAACTATAGATGTTTCAAGCCAGCCCTACAGGCTTCCAGCTCGCTCCCTACCCCTCTTTTAATTCCCCTACTCCTGGCTCCGAGTCAATGACTAAAGCTCTCCAGGAGTATTTATGGCCGGAGTATCTGTTGTTAACCTTGCACTAATCCTTTGGCTCCATCTCAAAAAGACGGAGACAGGCTTCCTTTGTTTAATGTCCCCTTTTCCCCTAAAGTCTAAACTCAATGGAGAGATGATTTGAGGTTTCTACCGTGGGATGGAGAAGAGCTGAGTGTCTTTTCAGGGAGAAAAGTGGCTGTAAAGGGAGAGATAAAGGAGCCTCCCAAGGCAGAGGAAGGGGCTGGTGGGTCCTTCCAGCAGCAGCAGGACCGTGCCCCACTCGGGGCTGCACTTGAGGGGTGCAGTCCTCAGCAGGCTGGGGTTGTGTGCAGCTCAGGGAGTCAAGGTCCAATTACCAAGGCCTCCAGTCTTGACAGAATACTTGGCATTGGAGAAGGCAAAGAGCAACCGAGCTGCTGGCTCCAGGGGACCGTGTGGGCTGATCATGGACCCGGCTGTGGTCAAGGCAGCCTGGAGGATACAGGACTGTGCCATATTTTGGGGACCACAAAGGCCTTCCAGATTCAGTCGCTCCCAACGGGAAAGGACTGGAGGGCCTGCGATGACTGAGACTGAATTTCCAGCCAGTTCCATGGAAGGCTACCTTTATTTTTGATTTCTTGAAAATAAAGGTGAAACTTTCTGTACACCTGGATTGGTGGTGGCTGATTCGCTGCTGAGGCCGTTATAAATTCTCAGCAGGCCTGGAGCACAATTCAGAGGGATGGGAAATCAGAGCCTGGCTCCTTCCTTCCTCTCTGCGTTCCTGACATTCTCAAGCATTTGCAGGTGACATGCCCTGGACACAGAGAGACGTAGGGCTGGAGACCAAACTCTCCCTCCCCCAGGAGCTGGTGGTCTAGGAAGGGAAGCCAGGCATTGTAACAACATCACGATGCGAGGGTCTCTGAGACAGGAGTCCTGAGGAACAGACAGAGGGCTCCAGAGCTCAGGGCTCCGGGTCCTGGCCAGACCTCAGGATACAATGGCTCCTTACCCAGCACCCTCTGGGTGTCTCAAACATGCTAATGGCATACACAGGAGGGTTAAAATAAGAAATTTAAAAATTGGACTAAATTGGCCAGGCTTAGTGGCTCATGCCTGAAATCCCAGCACTTTGGGAGGCCAAAGCAGGTGAAACACGAGGTCAGGAGTTCAAGACCAGCCTGGGCAACACGGTGAAACCCCGTCTCTTCTAAAATACAAAACAATTAGCTGGATGTGGTGGCAGACACCTGTAATTCCAGCTACTTGGGAGGCTGAGGTGGGAGAATTGCTTGAACTCAGGATGTGGAGGTTGTAGTGAGCCAAGATTATGCCGCTGCACTCCAGCCTGGGTGACAGAGTGAGACTCTTGTCTTGAAAAAAAATAAATAAATAAAACTGGACTAAGAGAGAATTCCTTTGTGCCCTGGAGTGGGTTCCTCCAGCACTGAGTGCCCATCTAGATAGGTGTTGGCTCCCACCCTGCCCTCTTGTCTGTCTAGCCCTGACTTTGTACTTGACCTTCATTGGATGTATTACGCATTTATCAAGGGCCCTCTGGGTGTGCACAGCACTGAACTAGATGAAATCTGATCAACTGTAAAGAAGAAAAGATGGCCTTTTCAGTGTCCAAATCTCATACATAAAACACCACTAACCTCCCACTCTGTTGTCCCCTGTAGTGACCAGAAGGTGGGCCTGGTGGGGTTAAGGGAGCCACAGAGAATGTGCTGATATTAACACACGTGGGAATCACCAGAGAAGGGAGGCTCTAGGGCATACTCATGACTCTCAGGTCCAACCTAAGAAGAGACTAGAGAGGCAGGGCACGGTGGCTCATGCCTGTAATTCGAGCACTTTGGGAAGCTGAGGTTGATGGATCACCTGAGGTCAGGAGTTCAAGACCAGCCTGGTCAACAAGGTGAAGCTCCATCTCTACAAAAATTAGCCAGACATATTGGCGAGTGTCTGTAGTCCCAGCTACTTGGGAGGCTAAGGAGGGAGAATGGCTTGAACTAGGGAGATGGAGGTTGTAGTGAGATTGCACCACTGCACTCGAGCCTGGGCGACAGAGCGAGACTCCAACTCAAAAAAAAAAAAAAAAAAAAAAAGAGAAGGAAAGGAAAGGAAGGAAGAAAGAAAAGAGAGGCCAGGCACAGTGGCTGAAAGCTGTAATCCTAGCACTTTGGTAGTTCAAGGCAGGTGGATTACCTGAGGTCAGGAGTTCAAGACCAGCCTGGCCAACATGTTGAAACCCTAACTCTACTAAAAATACAATTATCCAGGCTCAGTGGTGGGTGCCTGTAATCCCAGCTACTAGGGAGGCTGAGGCAGGAGAACGGCTTGAACCCGGGACGTGGAGTTTGCAGTGAGCCAAGACTGCGCCACTGCACTCCAGCCTGGGTAACACAGTAAGATTTTGTCTCAGAGAAAAAAAGAAGAAGAAGAAAAGAAAATAGAGAAATAATGGGGACGAGAAACTTTTCACTAACTTTCAGGACAGACGTGGTAAAGTGTGTTTCTCCTGTACACAGATCTCCAACCATAAGAAAAGCAGTGCAGAACATTCAGAAGTTGCTTAGCTTCATCCTTTCTCCAGTGCCCTGCATCTCTTGCAGAGGAGCAAATTAATAAGTCAGGAGTTAGGACCCAGAGATACGTTTTAGACTTACACGATCTGACAGCTGACTGCAATTCAATGAAGTGCACTTTGAGAAGCAGCACACTCGGCGAGAGGGGTTGAGACTGTTTTATTCCACTCCAGGTATTGCTGTCCTCTTGGGTTCCACTTTGGATTTTGAACCCCTGTATTTTCAAAACCCCTTTTTCCAATGAAAATGCTCTGTTATTAAAAAGGAAGAAATTGTCTTTCTGAAACTGACATCACGATGCTCACAGATTTTATGCTGGTTCTCATCGTCCTTGGCATCCCTTCCTCAGGTAAGCCCAAGTCACACTGAATTAAAACTACAACCGCAGAATTATTTAAGCAGAGGAGGCAAAACTATGGTGTTGATAATGCTAGAATTACGACATGTAATACACAGGATATATTTCGGATAACCCTTAAAATATGGCCCAAATGAGCAATTCTGTGAGATGTGGGTTTTTTTGCTGAAGAAATCATATCTATGAATTTCATAATGTTTATGTTTTTGTCATTTGCTGTATTTCTCCTGAATCACTACGAGCTTGGTAAGAAGACACGAAAGCAGGAAAAATGTTGCTGAATCCACTGAGCATTACTCAGAGAATCGTTCAAATATTTGGCACAAAAATTTACTATATCAACATTTTTCGACCATATTTACTAATAATTTCTATATCTATGTTTAGATATTTAATTTTGTCCAATATGCCCTGTAGACCTATAAAAATATTTTATAAATTTGTGTATGTAGGTAGATTTAGTATGTTTGTATATCACAGTTAAACACAAGTGTATCAAATGTCTATGAATATGTGTGTGTTTTATATGACTATTAACTGAATATAGGGAATTTTTGATAGGGATAAAGGACAAATAAAAGGAAAAAATGAAAGACAGACACACAGAGAGAGAACAAAAAGAGAAAAGGAAAGAGGGAGAAAGTACTGAAAGGCTTTGGGAACTAGTCATTTGCACCAGCCAATTTCCTGGGTTTGGGAATCATTTCATCTTCTGTGTAACTTGAGAACAGAAAGTTTTCCCCATTGAATCAGAAACCATCTGAAACCACAGCCAGATGGTGAGAAAAGTGTTGGTCCACTAGCAATTTGTATTATTTTCTCAGTAGTATTTTTGCCACGTTTGATTATTGTAATTTCCAAATGGAGAACTGGAGGCACTGAGGGAGATTTGCCCAAATCCAGAAATAAATTCTGCATTTCAAGGTCCCAGGGCAGCGAGGCACCTGAACCGTTATCCTATTGCCAGAAACGACCTTTTCTCAGACCAAGGACTCAAAGTCAAACAGGAGTTTCTAAATGCAGAAAGCCTCGAACTCATTTCCAAATATCATGAACTGTTGACTTTTCAAAGTCTTAAATGCAGTTTGCCAGTCACAAAAATAAGAAGAAACTTCTGTGTGTTTGAGCTTACAATTAATGTATGAGTGTCTGATGTTTTCCCGTCTTTATTATTCTATTTACTATAAAATAATGGATTCTTACCACTCTTTTCCCAGGGAATGATTTCACTCAGTGGTTAGCGAGGGTGTTTAGCATAATGCTCTTGGTTCAGCTAAGCCTCGTCCTGTATGTACAATCATGATTACATAAGAAAACTGGAATTTCTTGGCACTTGGCATTGGTCTCCATTGTGCCGGCTGCAAGTGTTTGGGAAGATTGTGTGATCTCTCATAGATCTATAATAAATCTAATAACCTGTGATAAATCTTACATCTGTGAGTATTTGTAGATTCATCAGCATCTGCTCATGTTTTAAAATCTGTCCCACATTTCCTTACCTTTTTTAACTTTCCTACACTTTGTAAACAAAATAGTTTCTTTTTGTTATACAAAACTACTTTTTTCAAATTACAAGAGGCAACCCTTTGATTTTTGTATTTTTGGCTTTGGTATAAAGATCGTCGGGTGTGGCCATGGGATGTATCTCATATTGCTATTTCCAATTTTGTGCGTGGTGTCTGCTGTCAAAAAGCAGGGAGTGTATCCTATTTATCTTCCCATCTCTCTTACAACATGATGATATTCAATAAATATTTATTAAACATCTACTGTATACTAGAAATGGTTCCAGTGTGTAGGAATGCAAGAGGAAATTTTTTTTTTTTTTTTTGAGATGGATTCTGCTCTGTCACCCAGGCTGGAGTGCAGTGGCATGATCTCAGCTCACTGCAACCTCCATCTCCCGGGTTCAAGCGATTCTCCTGCCTCAGCCTTCCACTTAGCTGGCACTACAGGCACGCACCACCACACCCAGCTAATTTTTGTATTTTTAGTAGAAACAGGGTTTCTCCATTGTTGGTCAGGCTGGTTTCGAACACCTGACCTCATGATCCGCCTCTGTCTCAGTCTCCCAAAGTGCTGGGATTATAGGCATGAGCCATCCCAAAATGCTGGGATTGCAGTCATGAACCACTGAGTCCAGCAAGAAATTAAAGCCATTCTAATAAATTATCCACTGGGTGTGGTGGCTCATGCCTATAATCCCAGCACTTTGGGAGGCCCAGGCAGGTGGATCAGCTCAGGTCAGGAGTTCAAGACCAGCCTAGCCTGGCCAACTTTGCGAAACACCATCTCTACTAAAAATACAAAAAATTAGCTGGGCATGGTGGCGAGCACCTATGATCATAGCTATTTGGGAGGCAGAGGCAGGAGAATAGCTTGAACTCAGAAGGCAGAGGTTGCAGTGAGCCAAGATCATGCCGTTGCACTCCAGCTTGGGCAACAAGAGCAAAACTCCCTCTCAAAAAAAAAAGTTCTCATGCTAGCAAGAATCCATTAAATATCCATCCTTTGACTTCACCATGAAGGCTAACTCTATGGGTTGACAGAAGAGGCTGCCATATTTGTGGTATGCTTTTTCTTTTTTTGACAAGTTGGCAATAGTGGAAGGAAAAACCAAAATATACACCAAAAGGCATCCAAACAAAAAAATTCACATTTCCCAGTCATCTTTGCTGAGGTTTGGATTTCTTCCATTATTTCTTTTCTGTCCTGGCTGAGGATAAAAAATGGCATTATCAGTAAAACCATGAATGATCCTGAAGATTTTTATGAAATCCTGTCCATAAAATTATGAACAGATGCTAATGAAGCTAGAAATACTCAGATGTGCAATTTATCACAGATGATTGGATTTAATGTAGATCTGTGAGAGAGAAAAGTTTTATCTATTAAGTCTTATCAGTCATTTATACCTCAGTGTGAGTTTGTCAAAAACTCACTTTTGCTAAAAGTGGATGTGGATATGGGGGTAGGAAGAGAGCAGGGTCATCTGAGAGACTGAGGAAAGGAAATAAAATCAAGAATAAACAGACCAAGGTTTGGCTGGGTGCATTGATTCACATCTGTAATCTAACATTTTGGGAGCCCAAAGGAGGATCACTTGAGCCCCAGAGCTCAAGACCAGCCTGGGCAACTTAGTGAGAGACATCTGTCTCTACAAAAATATTTAAAAATTAGCCAGGCTTGGTGGCATGTACCTGTATTTCCAGAAACTCTGGAGGCTGAGGCAGGAGGACCACATGAGCCCAGGAGGTCAAGTCTGCAGTGAGCTATGATGATGCCACTGCGCTCCAGCTTGGGCAATAGAGCAAGACTCTGTCAAAAAAAAAAAAAAAAAAGAATAAAGAGACCAGAAGATCAAGTCTTCAGTTCCAAAGGAAAATTTCTTTGTCTTGAACTGTTATTGGGCACCTCGTCAACATCTTTTATGATTTCATTCAGTGGGGCTGAGAGCCCCAGCCCCTCACAGGGGTGAGTCTCTCCAGTCCGCTGGTAGATGTATTACTTTTACCTGACTGCCCTCTCTGTTGAGATAAACAGCAGCTGCAAGCGAAGGGCTGCTCCCCAGTCACAGGCACATCTTAAACTTAAGCTGTCTTTTGTACCTTGAAAACAGTAAATATCTGGCGTTAATAGGCCACATTTTGTGGATGTTTCATGAACACAAAGACCCTAAAAGCCAAGGAGGTGTGAGCTGCTAGAGGCCTTGGCCATCACCTGAGGGATGCTTGGAGTGCTTGGATGTTAAAGGCTTGGAATCAAAATGAGAACCCATGGTCTCTAAATCTGAGTCCAGTGCTTCTAAATGTTAAATAAATATTTGTTGGATTCTTGTCCTAATGAGTGATGACTTTGGCAAGGGAGTCAGCCTTCCAAGCCAAGAGCAGCCTGTCCCAGCCTGAGCTCAGTGCACAGGAGATGACCAGCATCAGGCGGAGCACGCTCCTTCCCTGTTCCCGCCTCCGAACTGAAGCCTTCGCACTCGCTCTCTGGAGCTCTCTGGCTCTCCATCTTCCTTCCTCTGCCCATGGAGTTGTCTGTCTGGCCCCAAAGGAAAAATATGTATTTATGTAAAATAGAAACAAGCATTTATTTATTTACTTATCATAGCCTCACTGCACCACCGAGGGTGGTCTCAAACTCCTGGCCTCAAGTAATCCTCCTGCCTCAGCCTCCAAGTAACTGGGATTTATAGGTGTGAACCACCACACCCAGCCCCAGAGGAAATATTTTGACAAAGAAAAATGAAACAAAGATTAAGCAAGGAGGCCAGGCAAGATGAGTGGCTCATGCCTGTAATCCCAGCACTTTGGGAGGCTGAGTCAGGCAGATCACCTGAAGTCAGGAGTTTAAGACCAGCCTGGCCAACATGATGAAACGCTGTCTCTACTAAAATATAAAAAATTAGCCAGGTGTAGTGGTGGGGTCTTGTAATCCCAGCTACTCAGGAGGCTGAGGCAATAAAATCACTTGAACATAGAAGGCGATGGTTGCAGTGAGCTGAGATCATGCCTGTACTCTAGCCTGGGCAATAGAGCGAGACTCTGTCTGAAAAAAAAAAAGATTAAGCAAGGAGAAGCAGGAGAGAAAAAGGAAGAACAGGGATTTAGAGGAGCAGCAAAACTCCTTTTTTTACCAACAGAGGTGGTGGAAAGCTTAACAGGCAGCGAACACTCTCTGAAGCCACATTGTTAGACTAAGTGTGTGTGTTTGGGGCTGAGGGGAGAGGGACTCAAAGCAAAGAAATGTGGGGTGCACACAGCCACACGTGAGGCACGAATGTGCCCTCACTGTGGAGCATGGGGCATCCTCCTCCAGGGAGCACAACCACAGCAGTGCCCACCGGGGAGGCCTCGGGCAAAGTCCCCTGTGCCTGGCGCTGACAACAGCAGGAGTCTCGAGTGCATGACACAACGTGTCACCAAGGCAGAGAGTCTCCCTACAGCCAGGCAAATGCTGTTTGTGATGTGATTTTAGAATATCATTCT